ATTCAAAAATAATTTTTAAATATCTATTTTTCAATTAAAAAAATGTTAATAAATAAAATTAAATGTTTCAAATAACCTAAGAAAAATGCATTGTTTCTTGAAATTATGTAAATCATTTTTATGCATCCAAACTATGTCAATTTGTTGTGTACTTTAGATGTCAGGTTTAAAGCAATATGAGTTGAATTAAACCATATGTACAGAATTTTTTTGACAGAACCCACTCACATGTGTAGGGTCCACAGGAATAAAAAATGAAAAAAATACCCACCCCCTGCGTTGTGTGTATTTGGTTTTCTTCTGGAAACCGTGCTTCTGTACGTGAAGCATGATTCAATTATGTGTTTGTATTTTGTATTGAGAATAATTCTAGTAATATCAAAGCTATTATCACCATGGAGTCACCTAAAAACACGAAAGAGGTTCACAGTCTGACATGTCAAATATCAGCACTTAATTGGTTCATGTTACGCTCAATAGATAAGTGCCATCGTTTCTCCAAATACTTAACTTAGGTTGAAGAGTGGGAGAATGCTTTCCAAGAGCTAAAAACATACATCGGAACACCGTCATTCTTGTCAAGCTCGAGCCCGTTAATATGCTCTTCCTTTACCTTACCATGTCAAATCATGTAGTCAGTGTAATGCTAGTGAAAGATGTAAGAAAGCAATAGTGCGCATAAGCAAGGTCCCCCTCGACGTAAAAAAATCGAGCATACATTGGCAAAATAGTTAGCTCTTGCATTTGTCACGGCAACACTAAAGAATAAAAAATTAAGGCCTTACTTCCAAGATCATCGCATTACTGTCCTCCCAAATTATTCATTCCTACAGATTCTTCAGATGCCAAATGTTTCATCATAATGTTTTATCCAAGTCCTTGTTTGGTGTACATTTTTACCTCATTTGTAGGAAAAAAAAGAACGTTGGAGCAGTGACTTCTTTGACAAAAAACTGTGAACAATTTGACAATATAAGCACGCATTTCTCCATTCTACCCCTCCATGTTTTTTATGGTAATTTTGGCAACATTTTGAATTACATGATATGAGGGCATAGATGTCATTTTCCACACAATTCATTTGACCAAAAAACATTGCAGCAGACCCATTGATGTGACATGAATATGCATTTTTAGGAGAATAAAGTTATGTGTACATAATTCTTTACACAATCCTTTACACACTCCTCACATGGAGGGGGGGTCCACACATAATAAAATAATCGTGGGCCCCCCTTCATGTGAGAGGGTGTAAATGATTGTGTAATGCATGAGGTGTACATGTAGCATCACCCTTTTTAGGATGTGAGAATGGGTATCAAACGGAGGCCAAGAGAATTTTAGTGATTGGGCCTTGATTTATCATATGAAATTATGAATCCCAAAAAATTCGGGCTGTGGGGTTGGGGAAGGGTTTAGGCCAATGTATATGAGCTCGGTTAATTGGATTGTGTTTATGTGTTTTATCTTATCTAATCGAGATATTAGTGATTGGGCCTAGCCTTGGGCTAGGATTAGGGTTTCATGTGGGCTAAGGGAGAATGGGCTCCACGGTGAAGTTATAGGCTTGCAGTAAAGTGGTTATTTCGCTGAATTAGCAGTTGTAGAATTTTTAATTTTTACTTTTCACATGAACAGCAAAACATGCACAATAACCTCGTAAGCAGATCGTGAACGATAACTCATTGAAGAACTTGCAAATTTTAACGCTTGTTTATGACATAAGATGCAATGAATACCAAGAAAAATTAGAGTGAAAATATTATTCAATAAGGAATTCGTATAATTCCTCTTTATATAAGATTTTAAGTAATCTAATTTAAGCAGAAGAATACCTAAAATAATATAAAATCTTGATTACATTTTCTAAATTCAAAAGTATTTCATATAGAATAGTGTCTAAAGCATTGCCTTCATTACACTTACAAGGCAGATTTCACTAAAAAACACATCTTCATTTTTTCCCTTTTTGTTTCCTTTCTTTGTCAACAAAAACATTTGAATAGTTCAAAACAAGATGAACACAACACAATTTTGAGCTCACATCATTCATTGAACAAAATATTTCGAGATTTCTCAATAGCTTAGGAGTAGAACAACTCGTGTTAATAAATTGCTCATAAGTTCAAATTCTATTGAGGGACAATCGATTATCAATTAACAAATACAGACTAAGAAAATTGACATTGACTAGGAACGAGTAACTCATTTCTTGTCTTCTATCTCTTGGACAACGTTATGTTATGTAAGATAAGAAAATCCCTATCAAAGCCATAATCCTAAATTAATTGCATACTAATTACAACCAACAAATTGTGTGTGCTTGTTTGATATTATTTTCAAGTTCTTATAAGTAGTAAGTTTTATAAAATATGTGAATTTTTATTAATAAGTTATGAGTCTGATAAAACAAAAAAAAAAAAAAACTTAATTTAAATTGAAGAAATTGCAAAAAATGTCTACTTTTACATGGTCATTTGTAAAAATGTCTAAAATTTATTCAATGTCCATTTTACTACATTATAGACCAAAACATCCTCATTAAAAATTTTAAATTCCACAATGAAAACAAAATTATTTATATAATTAAAAATTATATTGATGAATAATAACTGACACATAATATATACTATTTATTTAAAAATACAATACTACA